GTTTCCAAACGGCGCGCGGGGCGGGGCGGGGCGGGCGAGGGTGGGCGGGGGCGTCGCGGGGCGGGGTGTCTGCGGGGCGGAGCGGGGGAGGCGCGGAGGCGGCGCGGAGGCCGGCGCGGAGGCGGCGGCGGGGCGGGGGGGGGCGGGGGCGGGGCGGGGGCGGGGCGGGGGCGGGGCGGGGTGGGGCGGGGGCGTCGCGTGGCGGGGCGGGGCGTCTCGGGCGGGGCGGGGGCGGCGCGGGGGCGGCGCGGGGGCGGCGCGGGGGCGGGCGCGATGCGGGGCGGGGCGGCCGCGGTGGGCGGCGAAATGGCACCGCGGTCAGAATTTCCACTTTTCAGTTCGCTCAACGCTTTCCAGGAAAGGAAGCGTAAGTTGTAAGGGTTGTAGTTTTACACACGTGTCGGGTTTCGTAAGCATGTATATTAATAAAGATTCGAGTTCCTCATCTTGTTCTCCAGCAACAGCCTTCGGTATGTTACAGTGAAATTGGAGAATGCCACATTTAGCCATCTGAGGTAGCCTCACGGAACTGATAATTTGTTCAATAGGTTGGAAATAATTTCATAACTTCATTAGAATGACTGTTACTAACTTAACAGATAGACGCATTATCTAAAATCAATTTTCGTTTTAATGGATATGTTTTATGGATATGATTTTCAAAACGTGTTAAATGTAGAAAGGCGAGCACTAAATCTAAAGAAGTCGACATCTTCCCGCTTAGCTTCATCGCTTCTATATGTATTGTAAGAAGGCCGTTCGACGCCTAAGGCCGCCCTACAAAAAATGAAGACCCGCTTTCCCAGCATGGGAACTTCAGAGGAATGAAGCGCTAGCCAGCTCATTACTCGTAGCTTCGCATATGGGATAATTAGGCATCAATACGTTAGAAAGTGTGGTCGCATATGCTTCCAGCACTGTGGCTTTCGAGTTGATAAGCACTCTGTGAAAACCACTTTCGCATAATAATTAAAGGGTACGCATTGGCGTCTTCTGTTCTTGGTGACGAAGCGTTTCTGAACGAGGACTTACAAAAAGCCATTTTTTTTCGTGGACGACATTCCCTTATATCCTCATTTTTTTAATTTATTCACATTAGAGTAATTAGTAGATTTCTGAATATTTTAGAAGTACGCAATATCGAAGTGCCTGTAATTTGCTTTGAAAATAAAGATTCACGAGAAAAGGGTCAAGGAGAAATAAAACTACACATTAAGGCGTTAATATGGTATTTCTCCATAATTTACACTTTTTTTTATTACAATCGGCATCTCTTAGGTGTTGGCATACATATCTACTACCATTGAATTTTTATTTCTCAATTTTCATTTCTTCACTAAGTCTCGGTTAGTGTAAGTCACGAAGCAGGTCCATTGCAGATTTTGGCCTGCTGTAATCCTGCTTCGAGAGCTTAAGCATCGAAGAGCGTCCGCCAAACCTGTAGTTAAGAGGTCCACCACGCACCAGCGGAAGATTCTCATTATTGAATGACGATAATGATCCCGGATCGGACGACGGGGGAATCGAAAAGTTAAAGGTGAGAGTTCACGAACCCATTCCAAAAGTATCCCAACGCGGAGGTGGGCGGCTCCATGCACGATGGAACGGCGAAGCTCGCCGCCCCCTCCCCCCTGCTTGGTATTTGCAAGTAAGTTACATTTGATTAAAAATTATCGATAAATAAAGCATCATATATATATATATATATATATATATAATGTATTTGGCATTTAGGGTCGGATTAATCCCACTTTTACCAGCTAGCGGACATCCAAGGTCTAGGCTTCTTAATTTATTATTCACGCCTGGGGTAAGGATGACACGATGAAAGCATAACGTATTCACATCAACGTGCCTAGCTTATTTGGACTGCCTGAGCTTTCATTCGTCACACAGCCATAGAAACAGACTAGATTTGTATTAGAAAGCTACAGCTTCATTTTCGCCCCAGCAAGGAATTGAACCCGGGACCGCCTCACAGAGAGCTAGCACGCTGTCGTGAGATATCAGAGGGGCTTAAATAATCAGAGTTAATTAATTTTAAAAAATTAACTGTTTCGCACACGGAAGCAAGCATAAGAATTTATGTTTCGCGCACGGTGTTTAAGAAATATTATAATAACATTTTTTGTTCCTCTACCTTAGATAATTAATTAAACCCTTAAAATATAATAAAAAATAATTAATTAAATTATTAATTTGAATTAATTAATAAAAATAAATTATTAGAATGTCAAGATGTGTTAAGCATCCGGCCATGCACACAACTGCTAGTATTTATGAGTTGAAAGTATGAAGATAGAGGAACAAAAAAAAAAAAACTTTAAAATATTTTTTTAAAACGTGCGCGAAACAGGAATTCTCGTGCGTATTTCCGTGTTGCAAAACAATTAATTTATTTTTAATTCTAACCAATAGCTAATAATTAAATAATATCTAAATAACTAATTTCATTCTAAAGAAACATCTTTCGCATACGACGAGTTAAAGACAATAAAATAAGCAACACGTGAGCGAGGTGATTCACAAACATGATACGTAACTTACTATTCTGGATTCAAATGAAGGTTTTTTCAGGATTCAAATTAATCGAATTCTATAAGGACACGTATATGACACATCTCAAAGAACCAACCAAGTCTAGATTGAGCTATAATCAACTACTAATCAGATAATTCCTCCCACTCCATTCCGCCCCGTCTCGTCCATTTCGTCCTGTAGCTCTGTGCCCGCCCTAGTTATGACCCGGCCGCCGCACCGCCTCGTAATACCTCTCCTTGTTCCGTCTTCTCGCAACAGTTGTTTCTATTCAGAGCTCAATAGCTTGCGTAACGAGGACTCTCGATCCTTCTTTGTTCTGATTCATTCATAAATCAAATAAATGATTTTATTTGTCTTAAACACGTCCAATCAGCCGTTATAACAATCATACCACTTTTTTCTAGCATTAATGATTTGTCGGGAAATGTTTTTTAACAAGAATGCGAATCAACTTGCATGGCAATAGTAAAAAATATGAAAATCAAAGATATGAGAGTGGTCTCTGTTCATAAAACTCTAAAAAAAATCGTAAGGCAAGTTAAAAACAGAAAAGTAGCCGTTTGTGTAAGTATCATCCTCGAGATAGGGATAAAAGCAATGTTCAATATCAGAACACTGTTCACATACGGACTTAAAAAATGTTTTGACAATGAAATATGAAATAATATCAGTGGTTCCACCGTTAACAAAACACGCGGTTATAAAAGCAACTACTCACTACAAATAATTCACTACTAAATAAATGTTCAAAGTCATATTACAAGAAAACAAACGTCAGGGCGTTAAAAAAAGTGTTACGGCACGAAAGATATTATGACTGCGAAGACCGGATCATGTTGCGTGTAGAAATTGAATGACAAAGCTAGCCCTGCAGTAGTGCGTCAATCACAACGTGCGTTGTGCTGTCGCGAGGCTTCCCCTGTGGTAAGCCTTAGCATTTTAACATCATTTACGAGGAAACTACAACAGTACGAAGATCCCAGAATGTGATCATTTGGGTGAATGATAGTCGAGAGCATTTCAGTCCGAGCTTCTGTAACGCAGTGATACAATTGCTATTTCTGAATGAGGATGCGTGGAGAGTAAGGAAGTGGCGTACATACACACCCACCACACAAGTGAGTCACTACTATCAGTTCGGCCTCAGAAAAAATATGTAACGACGAAGTAAATATGACGATAAATGTAAACACAAGGCATTCGTCGTAATTTTAAATACAATTAAACTCTTTGAAAGTTTAATACATTTTTTTAGATTTGACAAGCATGTTTGGTTAATTTAATTATATTTATAGCAAGTATATTAATGATAAACAATGTGTTATTTTAGTTTTGTAAATAGGACAATTCTTTCAATCCAACATTTTTCACATTTTATTGTCATTAATTTCCTGTATCCTTCTGCCGCAAATGTGTTGAAATCGTGAGTTTTGTGCTGTAAATAACAATCTTATAGCATCATCAACTTGCAGCGATGGACGAAGAGAGAGTTAAAACAATGCTGATAAGTTAACAGGGAAAAAAATCAACGCTGGATCTGGATCTGAAGGGGGATGTAGAAAGTCGAGTCAAAACTAATCTAATATAATTAGGCAATAACATGCAAGACACATAGTGTAGAATGGTCGCAAATGACATTCCAGGACTCCGGGCTTAAGGGAGCGAGGAGGGTTTGGCATTGCCCTCACTGGTTGAAAGCTGGTAGAGGTTGTCACAGAGGGGTACACGACGTTATCAAACCAATTATTATTGATAGAACGGTGGTTCAGATGTGATACTCTTTGTCATGAGAAGCCAACAACGTTACGAACACTCTGTTAAAACATTCATAACTCGCAGGAAGCGATGACTCATTACACAGGATTCGAACCCGCGCCCTACGCTCTGACACTACCCTGCTCGGATCCCTTGCAGCACCCATACAGGCATTTAGTGTCGAAGAAATAAAAAAAAATACTAGTGAACTATGAGATGCTGTTTTGATTGTAGAATACATTCTGTAACATGCATGATGATGTGAATTTATATCGTTACTCAACCTGCCATTTAAATTTTACGATTTATAAAGACTACTTTTAAGAATAATCATATACGCCAAAAAATTAACATAGTAATTATCCATGCTGAAATTTGGTTAAACTTACTGAAACAAGAATAAGTAACCTGACCAGAAAAACTCAGAATAATGATTTACGTCATCTTAAATATTGACAATGATTAACTTCTTATTTATAATGCAAAATATGACTGTGTCTTTTGATACACCGATATATTACAAGAAAATAAACGTCCGGATGTAAAAGCAAGTGTTACGGCAGGTAAGAAATTATCACAGCGAATACCGGATCCTGCGGTGTAAAGAAATAGAGTGACAAAGCTGGTCCTGCGGTAGTGCGCCAATCCCAACACGCGTCCTTATGACACCTTTCGTTTCAATAAGTTGAATTAGAAACTTGTCAATGTATACCACAAGATCTGCAGTGTTGGTGAATGGAGTTACGTTTCCTGTTTACGCACATTATTCATTGCCAGCCGCCCCTTCCACGCGCCTGCGCCGTTGCATCCGTCATCTGATCCGCGTGTGCGCGCGCGCGTGCGGTGAGCGACGTGGAAGGAGTTGGCGGAAGAGGGCAGCGTCGGTAGCCG